TGACCAAAAGATGTAATCTTGCATATAAGCCGAAGAAATTAGATTCCTGCGAAGGACTGTTGATATGACAAAGTTTAAAAGGATTTAAAACACGCAAACGCGAATTATGCGTGCTTGTGAGCTTCTCTTCCTAAAGATCTATGATAGTTTGGATATGTGAGCAGGATATACTACGAGAAACTCTCACTCCCTTCGTCAAGCCACAGCTTACCAAGGGACAACCCATGAAGAGATGACTCGAGTACATTTTCAAACCGGCACTGCTGCGCATTAGAATCTAAGTAACAGAGCTTTCTTATTGGAGCAGAACCGGTATCTCTGGAAAACCACATCAAAACTATTAACATGATTTGCAAAAAATGGTTAGCTTTGAAAATGAAACGACATATTTAGAATATTTTTTGAGGCAGCGTCGTTCACACAGTAGTCACTTACTTTTATCTCCTTGCTCAGTCTAAAAAACTATTTCACATAATGCAACTTGCGATTCAAAACGTTCTGGCAAACTTTAATTAATCCGGTATTTTAAAAATAATGAATCATAACACGGTAAAGCTAAATTTCTTAAAATTAAGCTAACGCTAAGGAAATCAATTTTTTTCAACTCTCATTCTTCTGTTACTCATGTGCCGAACGGCTGAATGGGAGAAGACTCAGTCTATCTACCGTAACAATTAAATTTGCATTTCAATAGTTCAGAGAAAATTCACCGAACACTGCAACAGATTTCGAGAAACGGAAGCGTTTACAGAAAGACAGGTTCGTCACAGACGACTTAATCAACGTACAAAGCAGCTATTGATAAAGGCAAAAAGACCAGGATCAAATAGTTACCTGGACTACCATTACATAATAAAGCTCAAAAGAACTGCCTAAGCGATAGAAGTAGCACACACGTCACTTAGACATATGAAGAAATTTAATGACAACTGTAAAACAGCTCAAAATACACAGATTTTTAATGCATATTTTGGCTAAAGACTTAATCTGTTTGGCGCAAAGCCATTTCAAGTATATGATAGGGATATTATAGATAACTAAGCAGGAAAAAAATCAACAAACCTGAACGGCGGTAGGCATATCGATATCATCGTTTATATCAATTTGTTTTTCGTCTTCCACATTTTCTTCATTCCGTCGGTTCGAAAGAAGTTCTGCTGCTTTCTCTTTTATCTGAACGAAAACAAAAATTTATCATATCATATACAGTGCCCTTTAGGTGACTGAACAAAGACAGACTCGCTTTAATCGAAGTTTGTTTTGGACGTGGGACAGCCCTGAATCGGTCTCTTTCTCTCCAAGCACGTATAAACTGACGGCTAGAAAGTTTGTCGCTTCCTCTCGAACATCAGGCACAGAATCATTCGTAAGCTAAATTTACAGTCTTTAAAAATCAGTGAATTGGTGAATCAGCAGTTTTCAATTGCACAATTCTTTATGGAATCCATATTCCGCAAGAAAGTGATTGAACCTAACTTAACTGTAAAAATTTAAAGCCATTAAACCTCTCAAAGCTAATCCTATAACAGTTAAAAACACAGGCAATACCACAATGACTATAGATAAGGTCTGAATTCACCAACAAATGCCACAAAAACCTCAGGTAAGTTACAGTTCTAAAGTTAGAAACATTAACAACATCACCTAAACTTGAGCATAAATGAATGATGCTTGATTTTTAAATAAGGTCACTCCCCCCGACGGCCTGAATGTAGTGGCATCATCAAAAAGAGACACTGACCACACAAGCAAATAAAAGAGGCATTAATCATCCAATCCCGGGAAAACGTCAATCGTGACTAAGGATACGTGGCGCTGATTGAAAGAACCGCGTTATCCATTTCCCAAAAACCATTTAACCAGCAGCATGTACCGCAAACTTACCATATAGTTCCTAAACTATCGACTGCGACGGACGATTAACTTCATCATCAATCTACCTTGAAGAAGGCCCGTGAGACACGGACAGAAACATCGATATTGGTCAGTCACTGGAATGACCACAGTATCTTTTGCAATGTGTATATGCAAGCCGTGTTTTACGCTATTTTTTAAGTAAGTCTATACTAGCTGACACCGAAGCGTCTCCTATTCACAGTAAGATATTACAATGTTTTCAAGTTGAAATACTATTTCAAAATAATAATGAATTTAAACTGAATGACCTACAAGTAACTCTATTCTGCTTTATTGCACTCTGATCCTTTATCTAAATTATCCTCATTGAAAACGCGTCACGAACGCAAGGCGATACTCGTAGAATATTTTTTCCTGTTCAGAACTATGTTGAGAGTAGCCGTTGAACCGCCCATCAGGAGCACCAACCCTCGTGAGTTGCTATCGATATCTTTCAAACCCTCATCTAGTTCAAAAGATTCAGAGAAGTGGAGTACTTAGCGATGTTTTCGTCACAAATAGTGACAGACAAACATCGTCTCAGCGTACCGAAGGGAGCTCCTGCACCATTTCGAGGCCGTTACTTTAGCATGAGACTGTGACCTGGTGACAAAGGATATACTTACTGTTTAAAAAAATGTTGTTAATCATTTTTAACTTCTGTTGTGCATCCAGTTAGACAAAAGAATACAGTCCACTCTAGTTTTCTGTATGCCATGACTTCAATTACCCTTGTTCAGTGAATCCATGAGTGCATTTAATCAGGCCACAATTATAAACTACACTGTAGAACCTTCAAAAGAAAGATAACGCATAACACCTCCAGTCACGCCGTACTGCACTTCATCCATGCTACTGGTTGCCTCGGAAACACTTAAGCAAACGACGGCTCAATGGTCTTTGAGACGGATCTCGCATCATCTTGCCTGCCCGAACAACCTCACACTTATCACGAATGATGCTCCAGGAATTAACGCTCAAAACATGACATCAAATAAACATGAAACCATGTCTGTACGCCAGAGTATGTCAGATATGCAAAACTTCTCCACGACCAGACCTTCAACGGATATAATTGTCTTGCGCTTATGTACTGGTTGCTAATTAGAACAGAAGCTCAGCTGAAGTCAATACCAACCGTAGAACGGGAAAACCGATCTCCGATTTCACTAACTTAAATAAATAACTTACATCAGCAATACGGTTAGAAAACGTATGAAAGATCTGTTTCTGCTTCTCCTTGGATGTACAGTCCTGAAGGAACCTGGCCAAGAAACGAATACTTTGCATCTTCATCGTCGGATTCTTGTTAACAAACACGGCGTCAAAGCACTGAACCACGTCATCAAAGGTAGCCTAAAATCAGGGTCAGATAATGAACACTGAATCGTACACCGTACCAGGTTTGCCATGGGCATCAAAGCTTCATGTAATGCATTGACGATTGATGCTTTCTTTTCTTTGAAACGTGAAAGTGCCGCAGTCAAACACTAAATTAGAGCGATTGACAACTTTCACCATAAGCGATATCATTTCACAGGAAAAGAACCATTAGAAACAACTCACATTTTTGTGCATGTAGCAGCTTTGCTCATCCATTGTTGAGGGCACCAAGCAGAAACTGTGGAAAAGCTTTTACTGAGAAAGAGTGCTGCTTCACACCTGAGATTCATATTGCTTGGTGCTTTCAAGTATGAATCGACAAAGCACGCACAGATCAAGCAATGGGCCAGAACCAAAACAGTCAAATCGTTTTAACGGGGGTCATTCCAAAACCTTATCAAACTTAAACAAACTGAATTAAAAAATTAGGAATTAAAAGAACTTATCTTTCATCTATATCTAGTTTACCCCGGTCATCACTTTGAAGTACAAGTAGACATTTACCGTTTTTGCAAAGAGAGAAAAATGCTTTTCTAAGCCAGCTGCAATGCGACCTAAACAAGGTGCGGCTAAAGCAACGACGGCTAAGTTGTTGTCTGCAGAAAGGATCTGAAATGGATCAGTCGAAGCCAATAATATCCTTCGGAAAGAAGGTCACCGCCATTTAAATGCCCTTACGTTAGACAGTAAACTTATTAGCGTTCCATATCGACAATCATTTTGCAGGCGTACGTCCACAGCGACCGCTGTGAGGAGCGTCTCCAATCCGTTCTTCCTGTCAAGCCACTTTCTGGACTCTAAGCGGTCCATCAGATCATCTGGCAGTTGCGTGAATAAGTCCAGAACTCTTTTCGACGAAGTTGTCGTTTTTGCTGAACCTGTAGCCACTGTGAAGGCAAATAAGTTTAACAAACGAACCAAAGGACGAAAATACGGCTTACGTTTCGCTGAAGGGGCTACGGTTTCCGTTCCGGCGACCTCCTTGCGGTTTAAGGCTTTGTGTGATGACTGAATATCGTGCTTTGCTATGAGGCCCTTCAGCTCTTCGTCCATTGCTGCCAACTAAACAACAGTGAAATACCTGCTAACATATAACGGACTAGATCTTACCTGGTTTTGAGCTTGTTCAGACAACTTCGAGGGCAGTGCGTTGCCCATGCTTTGGTAAAGATGAGCAAATAACATCTTAAGCCTATGCTCTAACTGCTTGCTACGAGTTGCCAGCAATGCAAAGAGCGTGTTCAATTCAGACCCGAAATCTGCAGTGCTCACACCAACTTGTCTGGAATTAGTTTATACACAGATCAGGCATACACGTTATGTGTAACATTCAATCTAATGCCCTATCTACATGGTGGCCAATTAGTAGTGAATAAGTAGGAACCGGTAAAACAAACTAAAATGCCTTTCAATGTAGCGAATTTATCACAAACTCCGCCATGGCCGGTCCCAAGCCCGGATGAGAAAGGAGGAGGGTTGGAGACCGTGGCAAGTCT